TTTAAAGATGTATGGACTCGTTTGGCAACACATTTCAAACTTCCCGCAGCTTGATGTCCTACCGATGCTGTGGAGAAAGTAAGAATGTAATGTGTTTTTTATGAACAAGTTGTATGCAGCCTCATGTATTTGATGGTGTGCACTAGACCGGACATTGCTTTTGCAATGGGCAAGATGAGCAAGTACATGTCAAATCAAGGGAATTCACTAGAAAGCAGTGAAATGAATTATGAGATATTTGAAGATTACTTTGGATTATGGCTCACTGTTTGATGGTATATTAGACAATGCCAAATTCTTCTTTGATTATGTTGATGCTGACTACGGACAATATCTAGATAAAAGGAGATTTACAACTGGGTATGTGTTTACACTTGGCGGTGGAAGCATTACTTGGAGATCTACATCGCAGAAATACGTAGCTCAGTTAACAACGGAAGCTTAATATGTGGCAGCAGCAGAAGCGGCAAAGTAAACTATTTGGTTGGATAGGCTTATCATGAAAATGAGATTGAAGCAGTGCATGGTTAATTTTCATTGTGATAGCCAGAGTGTTTTACATTTGACTGCGAACCAGGTCATAGATAGCAGAGTGAAGCACGTCGACATCAGGTACCATTTTATTAGACAAGCATTGTCTCATAAAATGATTTAGCTAATAAAGATCGACAATAAAATCAATCCAACTGATGCTTTGACCAAAGTTATTTCTTTGTAGAGTTTCAAGCGATACTGTGCTACCATGAAGGTTGTGCATGGGAAGCACATGTAAATTTGCTAGCATAGTAACTTCAGTTATCTCTTTATATATTTACTTTATCCTGTGATGGCTATGGTTTAGCTCTAGTTAACTCTTGTGTAACGAGTTACCTTGTATTAAGTTTCATTCTAGAACTTCTCACAGAGAAATTATATAAACTACGAGATCTCTCATACTTCTATGCAAGCAAGTTTCCTATTTATCTCTTTATGTTATTACTCTATCATGTTATGGCTACAATCTAGTTAACTTTCTTGTAAAGAGTTGCCTTGTGTTAGGTTTATGTCTAGAATTTCTCGCTGAGTAATAATATAGGTTACAGAGGTTATTGTTTCTTTAACATAAGTTAAGGGGGAGATTGTTGAGGTTAACTTTGGATAAAGAGTAACCTCAGGTTATAGATATTTATAGCTAGGTGTGTCGCCTGCTTTGGGTATAAATATACCTACAAGGCTTTTATTCGAATGAGCATTCAGTATTCAATTATCTGTAAATTTTGGGAGAAATTATACAATGTGTTTTTTTTCTTTATGAAATAATTAGAATAATTACAATAACAGAACATTAATTCATACAAAGAAATAAATAAAATTGGAATCGTCAGCACTAAGTATAATTTTGAAATTTTTTAATGTTTAAATTATATTCTAGTGTTAAAAATTATGATTTTTAAATATTTAAAATATGTGTTATATATGTCGACTTATTGTTGTCTTTTTGAAAAAAGACAAGTACTTGTGATTCAAATACAAATGTTTCATTCGATTTAGACTATGGAGTCACGTTTGTTATTTTATGACAAATTCCACAAACAAGGTTATAAAAGATAGAGATTAAATAAAATATCTTATTACATTTTTGTATTATAAATATAGAAATCTGAAGATTTTTTTATTCTTCTATTTTCATTTAATAAGTATTTCAAAAAATATATAATTTTTAATTTATATAAACAAGAAATGAAATATTTTTTCATATTAAAATTTATAATATATTTTTTTCCAAATGAAGAAAAAAATTTGAAAAATCAATTATGTTTCAAATTTTGAATAGCTTGATAAGTCATTGATGTTGCAAAACAAGCTATAAAACAAATAAATTATTTAAACCCTTATATCATTTGTACTAGATTTGTCAGTAAATTTATTTACAAAATATTGATTTCAAAAATTTAGTGGCAACATAAGTTCAAAATCAAACACATTCATCAAACAATAATATTTTTTTAGATATCAAATATTTTGCAATGAGAATTAAAACCTTGATCGATGCAAGATGAATATGCACATGGCTAAATGCAAAAGTTCAAGATGATAGAATATTAAAGATATATGAAAAAAATATTTCATTGAAGAAAATTGCTTATTTAATGTATGTTACTATTTATGTATTATCTTAGTAGCTTAATCTGATAAGAAATGTTGGATAGCATTAAATTGAATTTTCACTTCATAATTGTTAAAAATCTACATTTGTTTGAGATTATATATGAGACTACTCATCATCATAGTTAGTTATTCAACTTTGAGAGTACAATTTGTAACTGCCTTTGATAAAACTTCATGTAATAGTTTTGAAAGACATGATTTTGAAATTTACAAGAGATGTTCAAATATATGAGCATTTCTCTTCATTAGATTTTCGTGTGCATTAGTATTAAATTATTACAAATAAAATATTATTTTCTTAATATTATGCAAATCTCAAATGGAAGATTCATTGTATAATATACATGATATAATATTTCACATCTTGGAGTTGACTTTAATGAAAATGAATTATATTATTTGAACTTTTATTATATTTGAAAAAATGGATGAGATTAATTTTATGATAATTTCATCGAATGACCTGTGCTTTTTAAGGATATTATTTTATTTTTCATTTAATAAAATTCGTTTTTTATGTGAATTTTTTTTTGGAAAATTTTTAAATTTAAAAATAACATTTGAAGTTGTTAAATCAATATGGTTTTTTGAAGTTTTCAAAAATTATAGAATTAACAAAATAATGAAAAAAACCCCAAATTTGACAACTTTTTATGATAATCAATTATCAGCACATATTGTATTATGACTTTGTTATATATCTTTATTTATAAATATTGTTTTATTTCATATGGCATTTGTCTTTAGAATGTATGATAGGTTATGAAAGCTTAAAATTGTTATGTTCATAGCAAAACCTTTGCAATTGTATTACATATGAGTTCAAGGTTTGTTTTTAGTTCAAATTATCCCACGTATAATATATGAGATATTTGTATTGATTGATCAATCATTTAATACATAGGTATGAGGAAATTGATGTGTTGTAATGTGGATATGATGAATTCTTGATTGACAAGAGAGTATGTCGACTACTTCTATTCTATGCATGTATGTGCATTAACATTATGTATGTTAAAGAGAATAAATCTGTGAGGTAATTCTATACGATGTGGCTCAATAGGGTGGTTCTATGTGAATTTGACTTCTGTATCAAAAAAAATTGTTGATATGTCTTGCTATTGATGAATATGAAGATAAGGCAGGAAAGTTTGATGTTTGCTGGTATGTTTGCCGGAATGTTGTGAGAATTCCGGGAAGTCTGAGGGCTTAAGATTGAAATATCGTTTAAGATTAGAATAGCAATCCATGTGCTTGATGTGAGAAGTAGAGTTTAGCTGGAGGTTGTATGAAAACTTAGTCTATGCTCAGAATGGTTATTGGCATGGTTGTTCCGTCCGAGTGTGAGTTGGGTTAGGAAGTATTATGGGGGTGGAAGATGGGGAGGGCTTGCAGCTTGCAGCCATTTTTCGGTGAATAGGGAGGTTGTATTTTGAAGTAGTATATGTCATGCAAGGGTATTTACCGAAGCGCAAAGAGCCAGATTTGTTCCATGTCTTATCTTAGCTTGTTGATTGGTTAGTGATGTACACGAGTGTTATGAGTAGGATTGGACATAAGTCCAAGATATTAGGGATTCTGGCCACAGTAGAGTGGAGGAAAGGATGGGATGTTGTGGAACCTAAACTTGTGATTATGATGGGTGGATGGTGCCTGAGATTTGGACTGTATTGTAGTTTGCATAAACTCGAACAGCAGGCACTCCTCTCACACGGTTTTCCAACAGTAGTAACCCTCTCGCTAGAGCTCCATGGTGTGGATGGGCACTCTGTATAGTAAGCCCCTAAATCTCTCTGGGAATATTTGCCTCTTCCCTTTCTTCTATCGTGGGGCCTGCGCGGCCCCACGTCGGTAAGACGTTAAAATACGAGAGCAAAATATGTATATTAAGAGTGTCCATAGATATGCGCAAATAGAACATTGCTTTATCCGCGGAGGCTGTTGAATCTGCTGATTTTCCCGCTCACAATCGATCGAATTTCTCGGGCTGTTGACTACATAACTATTAAAGGGCTTTGAGGCTTAATAGTTACATAATCTAATAACTATTAAGCTACTATAACGGCGCCATGCAATCCATGGCGCCGTCATCGAAGTTGGAAGTCTCACTGGCGACAACAAACCTTTCCGTAATAGGGACCTCAAAATTAATTTGATCAGAAGATGCGCGACGTGGATTCTCATCACTGCTAGGTTACCTCCTCGCGCGGGGTGAAATTCGCACTCCCCAGAACGGAGAGTGCGGGCAATTATTTGTGTCAGAGCCCAATTTCAGACCTTACTTACTTGGGCTGTGGATTTGAGTTGCGAGTTGCGGGGCCACCTCATCATTTCTCAACTGCCAATACGCCACGGATCGCTCAAATTTGGCAGCCTGATAAATTGAATCATTCTTAATTCCTAGAAGATGAAGAATGATTAAATTCTTCCGGCTTCGATCTTAATCTGCAACGTATCAGATCAAGATCCTTCGTCAGGAGTGGGTTACATGTATCTATCACAGATCTGTGAATTAGTGTGCTCATTCGATCGTACGTGATCGATGTTTGGAACAGTCTCAAAGCATGACCTTGCCTTCAACAAGCTAGACAAACTCATGATGCCGACGATGACATGCTGTTTGCGATGTTCGTAGACAATCATCGATAATACCAAACTTCAGACCAAAGCTTTAGCAGCACTGTAGGATCGTGGGAGGCCTTCGACGTCTACGTCGTCGCATGGCAAAACACCTCTAACGAAAAAGCATGATCAACATAATCTGAGTCCCCAGAAAAGAGCGATGCGTCGACTGCATCAGGAATTACGACACGAGGGACAACACGTGGTGACTAACAATGTTGTCATAAGCCGGGCCTTGGCAATCCGTGTGTTTTCAGAAGCGGCAGTTTTATGTACAGAAATGTAGTGTACAATCTTTACAAAGCGTCTTCGCTGTTGGCTAGGACGAAAATAATCTGGGCCTGGCAGAGTGGAGACTTCGGCTCACAATCGAGACGCCGAAGCCACTACGGAACCTAACATTCACATGGTCAGAACGGCTTCTTGTTCTCCTTGGACGGAGCTACGTTTCCGAGAACGACTTTGAGAGGAGACCGGGCGAGGGAGGTCAAGTTAGCGCTGCGCAGAAGCTCGTCGGCGGGGCTCTCTTTGGGGATGGGAGAGAGGGGAAGAGCCTCCTTCGGTTCATCTCGACTAAAATCATCGCACTTTATATCAAGCCTCGGTTTGGGCGATTTCTCAGTTCTGGAAGAATTATCAGGTCTCCCGGGAGGTGAACTGTCCTCCTCGGGAACACTACTTTTCACAAAATCCAGTCTGGACAGCTGATGACTGTCGGTGGGCGTTCCCAGCATTTTGGACTGCAGAATTTCGTCCTCCTCAGCTCTGGCGATTTCGTTCGCCCACTGCAAGCTGGGCAGCTTCGTGTTCCGCCGGGCCGGCAGTGGCCGCGACGCCTTGGCGCTCGGCGCGGTCGAGGAGCTCGGGTGCCAATGGTCGGAACTCACGTCTGCATCGACTGCAGCGCTCTTCTGCCTCGTCTCGCCCCCGCCTCCCCTCGTCCTGTCGTCATCGTCAGGATACGAGTGGTGTCGGAAAGAATAATTTCCCGACAGGCTGGGCTTCATCACGGGCACGAAGGCGTATCCGAACTTGTTGGCAGCTTCGAACCACCTGCTCGGGTCGACGCTGCTCAGCTGTTTGCGGACCTCGTCCACCGTGTCGCGGAGTCTCACCATTTCCGTCTGGAGTTGGGCAATTTTCTGGTCTCCCGTTTGCAATCGCTCCCTGCGCTCCTGGTCCTGCGGGGCTCGAACGTCAGTCGAGAGCTCTAGGAGGATGGATGGTCGATCAGCGATTGGGACCTCGAATGACGATGAGGCAAATTACAATGCAGCGAACTCACCTCGTGCTGCAAAGTCAGCACTTGCGCTTCGGCGACGAGCGCACGCTGCTCCCAGGTGCTGCAAGCCTCCTGGAGCCTTTTCATGTCTTCCCCGACGCGCTGAAGAAGTTCTTGCACTTGGTACCACTGCTCCGACTCGGCTCTCACTTCTTCGGCGATCTTGTGGATCACGCGAATTTTGGTCTCCTCAGAAGAATGGGTGCTGGCCGTATCCTCCAAATGATGCAGGGGATGAAGCGGATGAAGAGGGCTCACCTGCGGCAATCAGCATCCACAGCGAAATTGAGCACCTCCAGTCATCTGGAATAATTTTACACCCAGCTACGGTTCGAACGGATCCGGCCCACTACGAGAATCGAAGAGAATAGGTACCTGCTTGGACGTGACCGGCGTTGCACTGTAACTCGGCTCTCTGGTGTGCCCGTTCTCACTGGACACATCGCACTTGTCGACGCTGTTGTTTGGCTGCACAGAATCAATCAGATTCGCTGTGAGCTCCGCTGACAGCTCTGCCGAGAGTGAGTTATACCATCCTCTCATTTTCAACTCCGCCTTCTGCTTCCGAGGTGAAGGCCCACCACGTCGAGTTAGTCATTTGCAGCGAGCATTTTACTGAGCACCACAACATTCAGTCAGTCAGAAATGGGCGGTGACAGATTTTGGCCTCACCTCCGGGTTGGCACCGCCGCCCTCCTTGGGAGGCTTCTTCCTCTTCTCTCGCGGCCGGGATATGACATGCTCTCTCTCGTCCGTGACCTGCGAGTTTATCGAGGGCACAGCGTTAGGCGCGGCATGAACACATTTGAGCTCTGCGGACAGGCTCGCCAGAAGGGAAGACGGAGTGAATGCGCTCGGGTCAGCGGCATTGCTCGACGGAACATTCCAAAGCAAGATGATCAAGAGGTTGCGCTGCGGCATTCACCCGCGAGTTGGTAGCCAGCATCAATTTCTCCAAGCGGGCCTTTAAGTCCTCGACTTTATTCTCCGTGTCGCGAGGAATCTCCGGGCTGGGCAGGCCGCGGATCTCCGAGCTCTTCTTCAGGGTGTCGATCCGACCTTGCAACGACACGGGGGGCAGGTCCTCGGGCTCCGGATGCGGATGCAGCTCCGCGCTCTTCCGGCGTAGCTTCTCCATTCGGGCTTTGAGCACTCGAGTGTGGTCCTCGAGAGTGGTCCTCTTACTCTTGAAGTCCGACGGCGCGTCTCCCGCAACACTGACCTGAAACAACGACCGACACACCGACGTCTTGAGTCGTGCACAAACTCATGGCCGCAACACGCACGCGCTGGCGTGATGTCGCGCTACGAACAGCAGAGCACGCACAGCCAAGCAGAGCAGAGCAGCGACGACGACGAGCAGCACACGGAAGAAGCGTCAATTCTGTCGGCGCAAGGCTCTACTCACAGGCACGGCGGGGGCAACAGGAAGAAAAAAGAATCCCTCGAGCTCGCACGAGCCAGGACGACTATGACAGACAGGGGCGAGCAGACCCATCGCACCGGACAAGCAGGCGGAAATTACAGGCGAACAGTAGGATCATTTTCTAGTGCGCAAGCTCTTTCTCTCTCCGGTGTCAGGCCGCAGGAGTGCGCTGGTCGTGGTTATAATCTGCACAGCCACTTCCGTCGTATCGCAGCCCATAGTCCCCAAATACCGAGGCCTTATCCTCCAGCGGAAGCGCGCGGCCGCGGCAGTTATGGGCAAGCTCCAAGACATGGGGGAAATATGCAGGCCCGAGCTTGAATGCACAAATTATGAGCCGGCTAAAAATAGGCCGGCGCCACGGAAGTGGATCCAAATGCCAGGCTTACCTCCAGCAGCGTCTCGATGGCGGTTCGCAAGGCTTGCGCCATCTGCGCTGCCTGGTCTATTTCGACGCAGCTCCGTTTCCACTTCCGGACGGCGATATCCTTCTCGCGGGCCAGCAAATCGCACTTTGCCTTGAGCAGCGTCGCTCTATCGGCCGTGCCCTCGCCATACCCTGCGGCCCCGACTTTTGTCCTGTCGTCCGTCTCGTCCTCGTCCTCCGAGCTCGAGGGCCGCGAATTCCCCGCGGCGTCCTCATAGTCTGTGAAATATGCATCGCCCCGCCCGAGATCCAGCTCGCTCACCTCCGCGGCCTCCCTCTCCTCGCGCGCCCGGCGCAGCTCGGGCAGCCGAGCGGCTTTCTGCGGGGGGTTTGGGGTTCCGAAGGCGCTCGGGTCGGGCGGGCTTGCTCGCCTGGCCCTGGGGCGAGCTTTCTCGCTCTTGAACGACTCCTCGGCGGCGGCCTTGGTCTTGTTGAAGCCCCAGTGCAAGTTCATGGAAGTCGGTTTCTGAAGGGTCTCGGCTTTGGCCGACTCCTGCGCTGCTCCCGAGCCTTCATCCCACGAGCCCTTGGCGTCGACGAACTCCAGCGAGGTCTCGATCGGCGACGATGCCCCTCGAGCGAACTCAAATTCCTCGCCGGCCTTGCCGAGCGAGGAGGACTCGTCGAGCTTCTGATTCTTGTGCCTGGTCTTTCGGTCCTTGTCCGGGCGGAGACTCGCTTTCTCCTTCGATCCCTTGACCCCTTCGTGCAGCAGCCCGACGGAGGCTGCGGGCATTTTGAATGAGGAGCTCCGAAGGCCCTCGCCTTTGGACGCGCCGCCAAGGAGCACGCGAGGCTTACCCTTGGGCCCCGCTTCCTTGCCTTTCGCCTGCAGCTCCGAGGTCCGCTGGGCCTCCTCGTCCACATTCTTCGAGTCGCTGGCCGCAGCCTTGGTCTCGTTCGATGCCCAAAACATTCGATCCTGTTCGAAGAGCCATCTCAGTTTCCCCTTGAGGCGCACTTCCTCGGTCTCCTGCACGACGGTCGTGTCTTGCGCCTTGTGCACTTGGTGCTCGCCGAAAGGAAGGAGCTCGCCTGTTTTTTTGTCCTTGATGATCACTGCGTCGAGCGGGAGCCGGCATTTGTCCGACGACGATGCCACTGTCACCTTCCCGAGATTGGAACCCCTGTCGCTGCACTCGTCGAATCTCACTTTCTTCTCCTTCTCCTTCCCGACGGTGTTCGCCAGATGTGCCTCTCGCGGCGCGTGGTGCACGAGTCGGGACGGCAGGGCGTCCGCCATTATCGAAACAACGAAAATAGAAGAATCCGGATGCGCTCGATGAGAAAAGAAAGGAACTCAAATACGCTCAGAATAGAACTACGCATGCACTCTCCAGCACCTCACGTACCACTTCACTTCACTGCACTTCACTTACAGCTCCATCCCAATCTGGCGCCTGACAAAAATCCCTCCGCGAGCTCGAACGAAAACGCTCCCAACTCTCGATCCCGCCACCCCGCCATGCGACCACGGTGCACTGTCCATCGTCCTGCCTTCTGCTCTTCCGCCTCGTCGACGCCCGAATGTCAGCGAGCGACAGCGCACGGCGAGAGCGCATTGGAGAAGTGGCACGCCAATGTTTCGACGAATCCTCCAACCTTTGCACGTTCGACAATCTTCAGAGGGTCAGCGCGCGTCGACGTCGAGCGGCAAGGACACTCCCTCAGCGACGCTCGTCTGCGCAGCTGCTGCGCGAGCGAGCGAGCGAGTGAAGAAGAGCGGGGAGCTGGGCGTCAGAGCATTCCATTCCCGACCGAACGACGCCCCGGCTTCCAGCGCATGAGCGTCACAACACGTTGGATCGCAACATTCTTCCGAGGAACTCGAGTGCTGACTAATGCACGGCGAGCGAAGCAAAACTGGGGTGAAGAAGAATAATTACCGAAAACAATCAGCTCAAGAAAAGTTCCAACATCGAGCTCCAGCGGAATCATTGCCATGGAAAGCCTGCAACTTCATGGCGGTTGAAGGCTAAAGCGGTTCGCTCAGTCTGGAGCCCCGGCGAACGCGGGGCGTTTCCACGCACAGGCAGAGAATCGTCACCCGTGCTGCTGCTGGACCATGACGGGCTGCGAGAAAGCACGGCATTCAAGACCTCGCTCTGCTGAACAGAGCGGACCACAGCGCTCGCTCGGACCTCGAATTAAGGCTTTCGGATGTCGTCCGATCCCTCGTGACCGGCAACGTGAACCTTTCCTCGCCTGCTCTCGCCCGAGCCGCCGACACATCAGATCTTCAATTGCCTCGGAGCACCACCTCTGCGCCCATTCTCGCCTCATCCAACCGATCCGCAGTCGCCCATCGCCCCTCGGGCCTGGCCCTGTCGAGGGCAGTCATAATCGCCATCATACATGCGCCTGTCACGTCATGTCATGAAATGTCAGATCATCTCGTGGCATCTCCTCGCCAGCGCCATCGCATCGAATCTCATCTCATCTCGTCTCGTGTCTTGTCTCTCTCTCTTTCTCCGGCCCGGCCTGGACGACGAAAGTTCCGTCGCGGTTGACCGGGCCTAATAAGACGATCACGTTTGCCGACGCCCGGACCGGCCGGAAGAAGCACTTTCTTCCACATTCCGCTCGTCGCCCGTCACGCCGCTCCAATCTTCAGATCTCAGACAGTCCAGGCTCCTCCAGCCTACAGCCTACAGCCTACGGCCTGAAACCTCCAGGTGCGCAGGAGGTCGGTCAGGCGTCGCCACTCGTCAGCCAGGCCGGGCAGGCCTCAGGTCAGCTCGGGTCGGGCCGGGCCGGGTCTCGTGTTCTACCCCTTTTACGTTCCAGTGCAACATTCAGTGACCGGAGGAGAGCAGCGAATATTCGCAGCTGGAAGTACGATTGTTCGTGAATAATTAACATATTTTGAATGAGCTTGTGAGGTTAATGAGTGCTCGTACTCGCCTGCTGGTTTCCTGGTTTCGAGCCTCCGCTTTTAAATTGAAATTTCCATCAGTGTCCCAGACTAGCAGATGTGGACCCGTGGCCCTCCCCCCGTTCGCTCGACCTCGAATATACGACTCCCAAACTGTACGAGAATGTAATGTTAATGTTATTCCTTCATTCCATCCTTACCGAATCCGCCCAACGTCTCATCGTACCCCCCAAGACGGCACGGCACGGCACGGTATTGCCGACCGAAGTTGCCGGCCCCTCTCTCTGCGTGACTGATCCCGTCGGAGGAGACAACCGACGTCATGCTTAATCTGCACTGTCTTAAGTAGCCAAACGATTCACAAGGTACGGTTACAGCACAGTTCAGGTCCTAAATTTTCATTAATTTTCATTATCCGTCACACAGTTCAATGGGATTGCGGAGTTTGGTCTACAGGATCGGAACCAAATATGCAGCCCTACCCACCCGAGCAGGCCTTTACAGTAAGCTGCGAAAATACAAACACTGATGAAATGTCCCGGCGTTTTGGTTCTCGCGAGGCCGGACACTTGGGCACTTTCTGCCTCTCGACGTGCTCTGCACGAGCTGTAGGCCAAGTCAAACAGAAGAAAGGAGAGGAAGGAGGCAGTTGGCGATGCGAGAACGTTGTCCTATGCTTGGAGCGCCATCGTACTGCGGAACACGATGGTGATCTAGCGCTGCGTCCAACACTTTCCCAGCTCCAAATGTTGGCGCAAAGTTGTACACGGGATGACGGCGGCGGTAGTGGCCAAAAGCCTAGACGGTGTAGATGCCCGTGTGATAGAGTTATGAAGAGATTTCTGGAGTAGGGACTTCATATGAGTAGAAATGTACCACTGACTGTGTTCAGCTACCGCTGGCTGGCTGTCTATGGTTTGGCTCGATACGGTTGTACATCCCCTAACGTTCAAACCCGATAACGACTCGTGCAGTAAAAAGACTGCATGCCCTGCAGGGAGGGAACTGCGATTATAGGCGAGGCGAACCTGCAGGAAATCACCATCTGCCTGGCGAGACATTTTATATGAGAAATAAAACCCTCCAAAGTACAACGATACGAGAAGCTCTCACGATGTTGCCAGACACAGCTAGAACATTGCAGCTTTATGAACAGCGCCACCGCTAAGAGTTAACTCCAGCTGTGACTGTAGGGAGACACCGCAAGGGTTCGACTCTCCCAGCACCAGCAGAGTTCAGTTATTGGAGGTGGATGGATAGACCGCGTCCCATGGTCAGCACAGCTGAGCTCGAACCGACCCGAGCTCCAACACCCATCACAGTCCTGCGTCTTCTGCCCAATCTGCCCGACATAGGAACGAGGTCCTACGTTCAGGGCAGAGCTCGAAAACAGGGAACACCAGAGCTACAGAGGCCGTTGGGCCATGAAGACAGCATGGAAACTGGAACGCAAAGGAGGAAGAGGCACTAAGAGGTAATTAAGAGACACGACTTAAACAGATGCGCTCAGATTACAGTACATGGAATGTCTGTAGTGGAAACGTGTCATGAAGCCGGGGCTTGTGTTGTGGTCTCAAGGGCGCAACCTTATTTCCGATCAAATCAAGCCTTCGATTCTCAGGAGGACGAACGCCAGGAGGAATGGAAAGACGATCGGACCGACGTCGTTCGGATTCGGTCGAGTGGCTGGCTGTGTGTGCGTACGTGAAAGTCGGTGAAAGAGTCCCCACCAGGACGAATCTTGAATTTTGTTGGACGCATGGGACCGTTTGCCGACTGTTGATGCACACAAATCTGCTTTAGCTCATGACACGAGCTCTTGCATCGCCCGCTGCTAAGCTCCGCCCCCGTTCCTGCTCGAGCCAGCCCCACCATGACACCATGTTCCCTCAAAATGCAACTGACCTCAACCGATCTTTGTATTCATGGCCAGATTGTGGATAATACATGCACCGGCGACGACTGCGTACACTACATGGCCTCCCGGGGTCCCACTGTCGTCACCTTCTCCTCGACTCTACTTCATACTCGGCGCGTGTGACGAAGCGCTGGTTCCTGCCAGCGGTCCGCGGTCCGCGGAGAAGGCCCGATCCAAAAGCGTCCGTCTCTTTTCGAGCAGGACAAAGAGCCCTTTGCTTGCGTGATGGGTCGTGACCCGATGCATCGGAGTTCCGCTATGCCCCAGCGCATTCCGGAAACTCCTGCCGCCGATCATTTCGGGCCGCTCCGATCGCTCCAGACTTTGCACTGTGCTCCACATTTGCGTGGCCGGGATCGACCCCGACAGCATCAACAGGCTTCCATCTGCACACGAACCGAGGCTCCCGGGCTCATTTTCCTTAGTTTCTTCCCCGCATATTCATTTCTTCCTCTACTTCTTTGTTCGCTCACTTCTTCCTGAATTTTAATACACATTTTATACTCTCTTTGAAATAGCAAATGTCCCTCTAATTCGCGAGCGGATGTTTGTTCCTACATATTTATAGCCTAAATTCCTCCTTACATTCAGCATGTACCGAGAGAATACCGAAGTCTACAGCTTTAACTCACTCCATTGAGTGAGTTAAAACTTCAGATATGGACAGAATCTGATTGTCTCATTTGATGACACAGAAGGTGAAATAATTCCCTTAACGCATACAGGAAACCAGAGGTTGCTCTATGGTATCAACACTGTTTAACAGAGATAGGTGGAGTAGACATATGTCCCGTTCTGATGCTATTGAGTCTACCAATCTTACCCCGTTGGCTCATCCCCTGATTCCTCGATGGAGTATTTCGATCCTTTTTTGCTCTATTACTTGGTTACGCTCTTATAAATGACAATTGTTTGTTATGATAATAGCAAACAACTGTTAACCTTGACCACATGACTTGCATGAATACTTTGCTCATGCGCTATTTGAAGGATACTTTGAAGTTCAATTACAAATTCTGCTACGTCAACTGAAAACTAAATTGACATACTGGTTGCTTCATCAAAAATTACCTGGATCATATACTCAAGCATCAATTAGCCTGATTGAAAAGCTGAAGAGCATCAGTGGTAAAAAATTAACATGAACTAAAATTTCACACCACCGGTTCAGATCATACCATCAGATTCTTCTACTCTTGACGTTTTACAATTTACCGTTTATGTTATGCAATTAAGTGGTAAAGTAGTGTGATTTATGACCTAAACCTTCTTTTTCTCCTGCCACGAGTAAACTATATTAACTTCATCTTCAAATTTTTAAAAAACATGGAAATTTCGAGGTTTAAAATTTACCGTTAATCTGAAATGACTTTTTTTTATTCTTTTCATATTGAACATATATTTTGAGAATTAAATAGTTTCACAATGATCTCTAGAGATGATTCAATGCTCAATCACACAAATCATAAAACTCATTTATATTTTTTTTCCATGTTAAATCAACACGGATAGTGCTTCAAATTGTCTAGCATTTAAGCCTAAAAGACATTGATTGTAAATCAATCATAATCTTCTTGATGATTTCATATGATCAAAGTTAAATTTGTGTCAGAATCTATTTTATAATCTAAAAAAAAACTGATGTAATTGGATCATATACTCAAACACAATTACATATCATCATACATTGTATCAAATAAATATAGTTAAATTCTATTGATAAAAACTTTCAACTAATTATTATAAACTTCACTTCATTTATCATCTATTGTGTATGAAAAAATCCACATTTAGTTGCAAAAATTATCTACATACTCTAGTTTTTCTTTGTAAGTTTGAAAACCAAAGGCTTGCTTATGATGCTTGATTTGTAAAATCGAATGTTGTATGTGTGAAATGATTGTTAAAAATAGCCAAGGAGTTGATCATAGTTAGCATACTTATGACTAAGTCTAACATGTTATGACTAAGGTTAGTTATTATGTCTATACTTGATATGAATAATTACTGAAATTTTAGAAAATTTTAGTGAACATTGGTTTGACTAAATAATGGAAATTTCATTTGTTAGATTAAGTCTAAAACCGACTTAATGACAAGTGGAAGTTCTAAAAGTTTAGAAGTCTTGAAAGTCATGTCGTCACCTTAACCTAGGGATTAGAAAACTTCTAGAAGGTTAGATAGGTCAATCACATGTTGCCACATCTTGAGAACTAGTCAAACCTACCATTGTTTATCCTAGTATGTTGAAAGTAAACCATCACTTTTCATTGTGGTAATTTTTCAATTAATATAAATGTAGAGGTAGAGAAAAAACTCTTAAGCAAGTTCTGAAAATTTATCATATGAGAACTTCTTTCATTAATATGAGTTTGAGTTTCAAAATCTTTTTGAATATCAATGAATGTTTGTGATTGAGTGCTGAGTGAAGAGGTTGTGTGAGAGAGTGTTTGGAACATGAGCACATGAGAATTCTTAACTTTTACGACCCTGATGAGCTACTGAAAAGACACCTTAGGTAAATTTGAGTGAGAGTCAGCTCAAAAATCACAAAATCATAACACAATAATTGCAAGATTCTAAATCAACTTT